TGATACCTCACCTCATGAGACCTTGATCGTCTGTGCTCAGTTTAGGCTGAATCAACTGAAACATGGCATCACTGATGAGAAAAGTGAGGCTTTGATAGCACTGAGAAGTTTGAAGCCAAAAGGAGTGGTTCTTTGTGAGAACATTAATGGAGAAGGCAGTAGTAGAGCGGACTTTGCAGCAGGTTTCTCGAGGAAACTGGAATACCTTTGGAAGTTTCTGGACTCAACAGGCTCTGGATTCAAAGAAGAGAACAGCGAAGAGCGGAAGCTTATGGAAGGAGAGGCAACAAAGGTGTTGATGAGTTCAGGAGAGATGAATGAAGGAAAATACATATGGTATGAAAGGATGAGAGAAGCTGGTTTTACTGAAGAAGCGTTTGGAGAAGATGCTATTGATGGAGCCAAATCTTTGTTGAGAAAGTATGACAACAATTGGGAAATAAGGATGGAGGATGGAGATACATTTGCTGGGTTGCTTTGGAATGGAGAGGCAGTTTCCTTTTGTTCCTTGTGGAAGTAGCTTAGCTTCTTTTTTAAGAATCCAAACTAAAGCCTTGTGCAAAATGTTGACCAAAAGACTTGTGTAAACGTTATCTTCCAAGTTTTTTATTTTTATTGTGAAGTAGACCAAACTTTGAAAAGCTTATATATCTTAGAACTAGATGGGAAAAGGCCAAGAATAAATGTATATTTGGTGGTAGTAAGCTGCAGAATGTTGTAACTTGTAACCCAAGAGAAGTTCTTGTAATTATTTAAAATATTAAAAGAAATAAAATTGAAAGATGAAACGAGAACATACAATGTCATTGTACAAACGAGACATAAAAGGAGATGCCAGAAACAAAATCAAGAAAACTGAAATAAATAATTAATAATCTCTTTCTTTCCTTTTGCTTAGTTGCACACTAAGCTTGGACCATAAGAAGAAGAACACACAGTTGGACACAATATATGGGCTGAGTATATCCAAACCTACCAAGATCCGTAGCTTGTTTAATATTCACAGTTTTGTAATATCCATCTTCTCCAATGATGTGAGCTCTTTGGTAGCGACGAGTCTCTGTCGGTTTATATCCGTCTAGATCGAAAACCACAGCGAGTTTCTTCTCCTCGTGAATGAAGAAACTCCCACTTTTGAAGTCAAACTGAAAACGAGAGAGTGGTTTCATATCAACTCTCAAGAACTTTCTCCAGGACACGTCATCGTGCTCGATCTGGGTGGTAACCCAAATCTCCATTGTATCAAGAAACTTCTTGCTCTGATATAAAACCAAGAGCTTCTCTTCTCTAACGAAAGAAAAATCCACAGAGTCTTCGGCATAAGAGTGAAAAGGCAGAGGCAAGCGTGGACCAAATCTCTCGCTTGTAAAATCAAAACTTAGTAAAAAATCCTGAATCCCTCCCGGTGTCACTCTTGCGATTTTCTCCTGAGCAAAAAAGTAAGCATTTCCTTTCAAAGACACACCACGTTGATAAGGTTTTATATTCCACTCCGGAGTGACATCAAGAACCTTCCATGAATTAGAGGCGAAATCGAAGATTTGGTACGTAAAAGCGTGTTTTTCGAGTCCGTCAGTGAAGAAGTGATCATCTATAAACCTCAAGATCTTGTGGTTACGGTTCTTGTTGTTGTTGTTGTCGTAACCGAAAGCATACCGGTCTAATCTGCTGTAACTGTTTCTTGGTGGGATGCTCACGAGTTGATTCAAATACGGGCTCCATACCAAGAGCCTCGTGTCTTTGGTGACAAGTAACAATAATCCGTCGCAGTAAGAGGTTTTAGATTTCTCAAAGTGATCAAGTGGACTTACTTGGTTTATCACTGGATCAACGAAAGATTTTTCGTATGTCAAGGCACAAACCTTTGAATTCATCGTCATGAACCCTAGAAGCTGGTTCGATGTTGCTGGTTTCGATAAAGCGTTCCATAATTTGCAAGTAGATCGCACCGATCTCTGAGATGTTAATCGATTCCTAGAGAGTATCTCTCTTGCCAAATCCTCGGAAAGATCCAACATCTTCGCCATTGTTTTTGACTTAGTTTTTAGGTTTCAACGATTAATCAAGGCTGTGTAACAAAAATTGGGATTTATCTCAAATAGGTTTAAATAACCGTCGTTATAATTTTACTTTCTATCTTTTTTTTAAAAAAGGAAAGCTAGTCATTTCCTTTTTTGTCCTTAACCTATTTCAACCTCCTCTGTTACTTTTGCTTCACGTTTTAAAAGACTTTGCTAGGTCAGCCGTTGGTTTGCTAGCTTGACCTAGGTCAACATTTCTCCACTTTGCTGGAAGCTCTGTGCAGCAGACCAGAAGGACCTCCTCCTCGTGTTCGAATAACCGTTGTATCCGATCTAACCGGAGACATGCCTTTCTCTGTTGGTCCACCAGCTTACAGTTATGGTTCTCAGCTCATTGTCTTTGCTCGGTCCCTCAACGTCAACCTCCATATCAGTGTACTAGACGAGTTCCAACTCACTGATACCTCACCTCATGAGACCTTGATCGTCTGTGCTCAGTTTAGGCTGAGTCAACTGAAACATAGCATCCCTGATGAGAAAAGCGAGGCTTTGATAGCACTGAGAAGTTTGAATCCAAAAGGAGTGGTTCTTTGTGAGAACATTAACGGACAATGCAGTAGTAGAGAGGACTTTGCAGCAGGGTTCTCGAGGAAACTTGAATACCTGTGGAAGTTCCTGGACTCAACAGGCTCTGGATTCAAAGAAGAGAACAGCGAAGAGCGGAAGCTAATGGAAGGAGAAGCAACAAAGGTGTTGATGAGTTTAGGAGAGATGAATGAAGGAAAAGATAAATGGTATGAAAGGATGAGAGCAGCTGACTTTGCTGAAGAAGCGTTTGGAGAAGATGCTATTGATGGAGCCAAATCTTTGCTGAGAAAGTATGACAACAATTGGGAAGATGGAAGATGGAGATACCTTTGCTGGGTTACTTTGGAATGGAGAGGCAGTTTCCTTTTGTTCCTTGTGGAAGTAGCTTAGCTTCTTTTGAGAATCCAAACTAAAACCTTGTTCAAAATGTTGACCAAAAGACTTGTGTAAACGTTATCTTAAAAGTTTTTTTATTGTGAAGTAGACCAAACTTTGAAAAGATTATATATCTTAAAACTGCTGAAGAATGTTGTAACCCAAGAGAAGTTCTTGTAGCTATTTCAGAACTAAAAGAAATAAAATTGAAAGATGAAACGAGTACATAAAAGGAGATGCAAGAAACAGAATTATGAAGACTGAAGTAGTTAATAATCTCTTTCTTTCCTTTTGCCTAGTTGCACTAAGCTTGGAACATAAGAAGAAGAACACACAAGTGGGACACAATATACGGACATACCAGGTTCCCCAAGATCCTTAGCTTCTTTAATATTCACAGATTTGTAATATCCATCTTCTCCAATGATGTGAGCTGTTTGGTAGCGACAACGTGTCGGTTTGTATCCGTCTAGATCGAAAACCACTGCGAGTTTCTTCTCCTCGTGAATGAAGAAACTCCCACTTTTATAGTCAAACTGAAAACCAGTGAGTGGTCTCATATCAACTCTCAGAAACTTGCTCCAGGACACGTCACTGTGCTCGATCTTAGTGGTAACCCAAATCTCCATCGTATCAAGAAGCCTCTTGCTCTGATGTAAAACCGAGAGCTTCTCTTCTCTAACGCAAGACAAAGCCACAGTGTCTCTGGCATAAGAGTGAAAAGGCAGAGGCAGACGTGGACCAAATCTCTCTCTTGTAAAATCAAAACATAGTAAGAAATCTTGAATCTCAAACTCCAGTCTTGTAGTTTTCTCTTGAGCGAAAAAGTAAGCGTTTCCCTTCAAAGACACACCACGTTGATAAGATTTGATATCCCAGTCTGGAGTGACATCAACAACTCTCCATGACTCCGAGGCGAGATCGAAGACTTGGTACGTAAGAGCGTGTTTTACGAGTCCGTCAGTGAATAAGTACTCATCTATAAACCTCAAGACTTTGTGGTTTCGGTTGTTGTTGTCGTAACCGAAAGCATACTGGTCTAATCTGCTGTAACTGTTTCTTGGTCGGATCTTCAAGAGTTGATTCATACAGGGGTTCCATACCAAGGGCCTCGAGTCTTTTGTGACAAGTAACAATAATCCCTCGCAGTAAAAGGTTTTCGATATCTCCATGTGATCAAGTACACTTACTTGGTTTATTACTCGATCAACGAAAGCTTCGTCGCTGTTGCGGATTCTTTCCAAATCGAACATCAAGGAACAAACCTTTGAATCCATCATCATGAACCCTAGAAACTGGTTCCTTGATGCTGACTTCGATAAAGCGTTCCAGTTTTTGCAAGTAGATCGCACTGATCTCTGAGATGTTAATCGAACCCTAGAGAGTACTCTCTTGCCAAATCCTCGGAAAGATCCGACATCTTCGCCATTGTTTTTGACTTTTGAGTTTTTAGGTTTCAACGATTAATCAAGGCTGTGTAACAAAAATTGTGATTTATCTCAAATCGGTTTAAATAACCGTCGTTATAATTTTACTTTCTATTTCTTTTTAAAATAGGAAAGTAGTCATTTTCTTTTTTTGTCCAAACCTATATCAACCTCCTCTGTTACTTTTGCTTCACGTTTCAAAAGACTTTGCTAGGTCTAAGCCGTTGATTTGCTAGCTTGACCTAATAATACGGGCTATCCTGCAGATTCTAACAAAACAGCATCTTTCTCTGAATTCTCTCACATTCGTCGCGGTATTGAAATAACACAGCGAGCTGCTCGTCTCCAACACAAGACATAGCTTTCTCTGTTTGGTCAACCAGCTTACAGTTATGGTTCTCTACTTGTTGGCTTTTCTCAACCTCTCAACATCCACCTTCATATCAATCTTCTTTTTAGTGTGATACATTTGATGTAGACAATACACACTCTTTTTCTATCAGAACCACAATCAGGCTCTCTCTGTTATTTTAAGAACACTATTATAGTCGGAGTAGTTTATTCCTAAATATAAGATCCTTTTATCATTTTATCCGTTCTCTCCGACCTGTGGAAAGACAGTCTTGTTCAAATGAAACTTTGGTGTAGAAAAAGAAGCAACAAAATACACAAGTAAATAGCTTAGTTTGATTATGTTATCTAAAGCCGGATTGATTATGCTATCTAAAGAAGCAACAAGATACAGAGATAGGGATGATGATGATGACAAACCCTCTTCTTCTGGCTTTTCAATCTTTCACGGTTCATAGCGAAACTCTTGTCCATCTCTTCCAGCTCGTGAACCTGATCGATGACAATGTGAGCATCAGCACGCGCGAGTTGAGACTCCAAGTCGCTTATCCTTTTCTTCAGACAAGAAGTGGCCTCCAGCTTGTAATCCTCCTCCAGCTTCTGCGATAAGGATAGCTTCATCGTTCAACTCGGGTTTGCTGAGCTGAATCCCTCACATAATTCTCAAAGATGGTCATGGGTTGCCGGTTGATTCTCCCAGAGTTCGGGGAACAGGCCGTTCCATTGGGATTTCAAGCATCGTAAGGATGTTTCTATCTTGGACGACGAGGTGGGACGGGCTCAGTTTGAGAGGCATCTCAAGGCTACTGGTTGTGTGCTGGAACGAGATGACAGAGCGTCACGCCTATATTGATATGGCCATGGTGAATGCTCATCTCGTTTACGGAGGGCAACACACAACCATCAGCCTTGAGATGCCTCTCAAACTGAGTCCGTCCCACCTCGTCGTCCAAGATAGGAACATCTTTACGATGCTTGAAATCCCAATGGAACGGCATGTTCCCCGAACTCTGGGAGAATCAACCGGCAACCCATGGCCATTTTTGAGAATTATGTGAGGGATTCAGCTCAGCAAACCGGAGTTGAACGATGAAGGAGATGATCGGGAAGCTATCCTCATCCCTGAAGGTATCGCAGAAGCTGGAGGAGGATTACAAGCTGGAGTTTGAGGCCGCTTCTTGCCAGAAGAAAAGGATAAGCGACTTGGAGTCTCAACTGGCGCAAGCGCATCCTGATGCGATGCTGGCATTGTCAGTGGTCGGGTTCGCGAGCTGGAGGAGATGGACAAAAGTTTCCTCTTTTTTTTTGCCGCGCCAACAATGTGTTCGCCTCGCATATCACTTCGTCAAAATTGTTTCCAGCAAAACCAGAACGAGCCCTGGCATGTCACCCACCAGAGCTTTCCCTTGCTGTTTCTCGAGCTGACATTGAGTAAGTCTCCTCCTGCTATTCAAAGCTGATGAGCCTGTATCCGGAATTTGCAGAGTAGAACCGCCTGCAATCAGACACGCCAAGTCAAAATAAGGTCTACTAACAAATTCAAAACCACAAAACAGGTAGTATTCGCATATGTACCTCGACGAACAGGAGCCTGATCCAAATCTATGAACGGAGCAGGAAAATCGTATGCCGAAGTAGCACAGTTCGCTTCTTCAAAACTTGATCGCATTTGATCCTATATGGTGCTTCTGCAAACACGTGGGAAAAACCAAAGGTTAAAACAACCAAGTACTTAGACGAACAATGATTAAGACAGAAACAGCTCTTAATCGTTAAACTAATTAAAACTAAAATTAATTCCCCCTGACCAACTGCGTCCGCCTAAGCTTTGGGGATCCTGTCAAAATCGAAATCCCCCACAGAAGCTTTGTCGATCGTGCGGTTATGGCCAGGAGAGGAGTAAAACGAGCCGGGAAAGCGATTGTTCCCCTTCATTGAGCAAAGCTGGTGGAATTCGTCGATCCAAAACATAACCCCTGCTCGCACAACAATACTTTGAGCGCGATTAGGGTCCGCGGACAGATCTGAGGGAGCGCGATCTTTAGATTAGCCATGATCTCCACGAGAAACGGAGGGAGGCCGCCGACTCATGCTTCCTCGGAGTGGTGATCTTCACTCCATACAGAGCCTTGAGGTCTTTGATTTCATCTGAGGTGATCTTAGATCTCTCGTGAGGACCATACTTCTTTTGACAACGTTTTTTCGCAGCCGCAGCAGTTGGACGTGTTTCCGCCATAAAACTCGAAAGCAACTAAAGCTTAACTCATTTTCGAAAAAAACGGATTCAAAACAAAACAAATAACTCTTTGCAGAAAGAAGACAATTTTTTCTCGAAAACATGTAAACAAAAAAAAACATAAATAAAGAACTTAAAGCAAGAAGAATGGAAAGAAGAAATTACTTTGGGAAGAGTAGCGGAGACGTGCACAGTTAAGGAATTGTAAGATAGTGGGTTAAATATAGCAATAAGTGTTGTTACCAAAATCGAGAGAAAAATCTTTTTCTCTTCATCTCAATCGTCTATCTCATGTAATTAAAGATCCGATTCTCAAGATACGCATGATTTAATCCGAGAGCTATCTTATTTCCAACTACTAAAAATCCCCAAAAAAATCCTTTAAATTCGAAGTTATCCGTATATTCTTTTTGCTTCAGGATTTCGAAACTATCCGGAATTTCTCTAAAATAAAATATACAAAAGTTTAAAATTCTTGTATGAAATATTAGTTTTCCTGCTTTCTGCTTATCAAGTATTAAAGTAGGAGATCGAGTAAAAACTGTTCAATGGAGATCACCGAGAATCTGGAGAACGAACACCCAATATCATGCTGTAGCTGGAAGCCGAAGTGGATATATATAAGGCAACTAGGGCAAATGGAGGCGGATCATCTTTTACTCATTCTCTTATTCTCTTGTATGCTTAAGAGCTATCGCATTACGAATCTTCTCTGTAAACACATTTCTCATTGATATAAATTCATTTGGTAGATTTAAGTCATATCTCTTATTTGGTTCATTGTGGGATTTTTACCTACTTTTTTCTCATCTCTTCATTCACTCAAAATACTTAGGATGTGGGCATTGTATCTTACAATCATAAACGTTTCTGTATTTTACATAAAACAGTTAATTTCCAGTTAATTTAGCAATAGATATTTAGAGACTCGGTATTAGGAAGAAAATTAAAACTATAGTAAGATTTTCTTCGTTTATAATCATACTAAAATACGTTTGTTTCTTATCATTGGAATAATATGTGCTGCACTTTATTTGTGTTTTTAGACTTATGTAATGTGCTCCAGTGTATTATTATGTTTAATGTCAACTTGAATACTCCTAAACGAGGCCCAAACCTCTCTGCTGTGAAATCGAAAATCTCCGTGTAATCGAATCATAAAAACTGAATATCCCAAAGTTTTAGCACTTTAGAATCAGATACTTGCGGATGCTGGCTGCATGAAGATCGTTGTACGAGTAAGACGATAAGAGTCTATTTTTCATTTAACATTTCCAGCTTTACACTGAATCAACAGAAGCATTGTTATGTACAACAAATTAATCATTACTATATACACATACACATACATGATATGGACTTTGTTAATATAAGAATCAGCTTCCCCATCCGACCATTGTTCCAGGGCGGGAAAACGCGAGCCCTCGATCATACATACGTTGGATCTCTTCTCTGTACTCAGGCAGAGACTCATCAGGAATTGGTGGAGTCAGCTCCACCACATCACCCATCTTCAGCTTCCCCTTTAGGTCGCTTACAGGTCTCTGGTTCAGTCTCGGCCTTAGCTCTTCCTTTGCTGGTATCCCATACATGGACCACCTCGAGCTCCCTGGCCCCGCCCGGCTCAGCAGATCCGACAACGTAGAGTTCGCTGGGAACTCTTGCACAGACATCTGCAATGTTTCTGATTCGTTCAATATAACACAATCAACCTGTGCTAGAGAAGAGTTTATACAACAAAGTGACAAACCTTTTCATTTTCGATGACGATGACATAGACTGGTCCGTCCTGGCTACTGTTAGGCTTGTAAGAAGCCGGGCAGTCCTCAGAGTGAGAAGGAAACTTGCAAGGGGGTTTGATGGAATCAGAAGAACGGATGGAAGATCGGTCTTTGCTCATTGTTTCACAGTGCCAAGTTACAACCCACCGAGCCCATTCAACCATCTGAAGCACAAACGAAGAGTATTTGCAGTCACCTTCCTTGTACCTCCAGTGAGCTGCAAACCCAAACTCAGCTTGCAAATGCATCTCCTGTGTACGTATCTGGACTTCAAGTGGAACTGTTCCATTATCCATCACTACCGTGTGCAAAGATTGATACCTAGAGTTAAACAAAATCTTAAAAGTCAGATTCGTAAAACTTTTAACAAGCCATAGCAAGCTTAGACAAAAAAACATACCCATTGAACTTGGGATGAGTTATGTAATCCTTGAGCTTCCCAGGAACTTGAGACCATAAACTATGAACTACTCCTAAGGCCTTGTAACAATCTCCTTCGTTATTAACAATCAAACGTAACCCATGAATGTCGTGAATCTCATCTACAGTTAGCTTTTTCCTGAGATCATAAAGGCAACATCAACATTAGTCTTCTGGTTTCACTCACACTGTTTCATCTGTGAAAAGGGGAGGAACTAGGAAGGAGAGCTTACTTCAACATCTTGCAGTAGATACTATACAAGCTCTTGTGCCGACCACAGAGAACATGATAAGAAATGCCTTCTTTCTTGAGAGCTTCCTCCAACTTCTCTATAGCAGAAGTAATCATAGCTTCATCGAATGAATCCTCGAACATGGTTGACATCTCGTTATGCTGCTGCGGGTAAAGATGCTTGAAACAAAGATTCTCAAGCTGGACTTTCCATGTAGAGATTCCCAATCGATTAGCCAGAGGTGCGAATATTTCAAGCGTCTCTTTAGCAAACCTCTGCTGCTTCACTGGGGAGAGAGCGTATAGCGTCATCATGTTGTGCAGACGATCAGCAAGTTTTATAAGAACAGCTCTCGCATCTGCCATTGCAAGAAACATTGTATGCAAGCGATCTGCTTCCACAGTTTTACACGCCGTGTTGTTCTCTCTAGCGAGTTTGCTCAATTGGCTAAGCTTTGAGACCTATATACACATTGAGCTCAATTAGCTAACAAGCACCAAGAATCTCAACCAATAACAAGTCGATAGATGTTGCTTGTTTCTTACCCCTTCGACCAAATCAGCAACTCCTGCACCAAAGTTTCTGAGAATGTAATCATAGCTCATGAATGAATCGTCCATAGTATCGTGAAGCAGCCCAGCCACGACAACGGTGGAGTTAGCTCCGATACTAGCCAGCAACAAAGCAGTCTCAACGCAATGTTGCAAGTAAGGATCACCACTCGCTCTCATCTGATTTACACACATCAAAACGAAAACTTCAGTCACCAAACTCTAGAGAACATCCAAAGCCACTCGAAAATTCATGAAATTGTTTTTGTACCTGTCCTCTGTGAGCTTTCTCTGCTTCGTAAAATGCTTTGATAACGGATTCGTCTTTGAAGATTGAGTGCCTCAATTGAGCACGTCCTAGCAAATCCCTAGCATATGGCTGTCTAGTATCTGCTCCAAA